TGGATCTGTTACAATAAGGACACGGATTAAGTTTTTTTGACATTGTCTTTTTTTCAAGAGACGAGTAATACGGCCTGAAACTGTTTCCATTACTTAAAACTGCTGGTCGTTGAGTATTTATATCGAAAATATGATCAATGTTGCCGAACGAATTTTTAGAGTTTTCCAACGAGAACATCGGATTCCAAAATGCAGATCTTTTCGAAAAAATTTGGTCGCTGGTCGGATCATTCTTTGGTTTCAACCGATTGAGACTCAACGAATTCGTCCAATTTGTAAATTCAGCATCGCACGGTTGGGTCAGATCAGTGCTGTTGTAAAGCGGGGTATTCTGGTTTTTAGGCAGTAGCCAATTTGGCATCGGGTCTTTGTGAGCTTTCGGATCTATTGAAGAGCGCATCAGTTCCTCGAGTGAAAGATTCTCAGTGCCAGACTTGCTCGTGTTATATTGACGATTCTGAAAAAGTTGCCTATTAACACTTTGCCCGTAATATCCTGGTGCATACGGGAAATCTAATTTTGTGGCTTTCAAAGCGCTACTCGTAGGCTGTAAATTTTCTTGGTGATTATTCAAGGCGAACGATTCGCTTGTCACTTCGGAATCGGGACGGCTCAAAAATTTGTTGTTTTCTTTTACCGATTCTGAAATAGAGAACTGAAACTGGAAAACGCGTTTATAAAACTTTCCGTTGTCTTCTTTGTCGATTTTCCCGTAAGAATCTAAATTATGAACGCTCTTAATATTCTCTCGTCTTTTCTCATCATTTATCGGTACCAGTTCTCTGTCTAGTAAAATCTTATGACGTAGGTCCTGATTTTGAGGCAACATTCGCGTGGAATATTCTGGATGGTGCTGTAGTATGACAGGTTGAAATATGCGCGGATATTTCATCACCGCTGGAGAGTGGATGTTTTCTATATTACTACAGTAATTATTGAATTGCGTAAAAAAGCTTTTGCCATAAACCATTTTCTGATGGCTTTTAACACATCCGTTTGACCAAAGTGCTTCTCCAGGGACCGGTAAGGCTGTAATGGGATTCAAATTGTTTAAGGTTGTCCAATGGGGATCGACATTGTAATCGATTAAGCCGTTTAATGACATGTCCTCAGCCGACGAATTATGGGCGTACATTGCTTGTATAGGAGAATCTGGCTTTAAATAGATTCATGTGTAAAAGATTGTTTTTGATAGTCGATATTAAATGACGATATGTCATCGGCAAGTCCGAATATGTCTCTTTTTTCATTATTTTATCTGTTATCTCAAGTAGAGTCACACGTCTCCTTATCATGGTTTGTAAATTACAAGGGTTATTTAGTCACTGTAAAACACGCACACACAATGGAAATAACATTGGAATATCCTTACATAAGTATATCTAACTTCACGAGAAATAATGTTCTTATATATATATATATATATATATATATGTGTGTGTGTGTGTATGTGTGTATGTGTGTGTGTATAAAGCTGGAGGAAAAAAGAGGATACATAGGGTTTTATCACGTAAGTGAATGTAATGGATTCGACTGTAATTCGAACTCGGCGCTCCGATTCCTCAATCCAAGCCCCTAACCATTACTCCACCGTACCCATCTCTCTCACTCTCTCTCTCTCTCTCTCTCTCTCTCTCTCTCTCTCTCTCTCTCTCTCTCTCTCTCTGAATTCCCATGTTTGAAAAAACGAAGCCAAAAACTTCAAATTTAATTATATAATCAAGGGAATTTTTTGAAGTTAGGAATCATGTGTATCGAAGAAACCATATTTTAAATCAGTTAATTTATAATATTTTTGCTCTGTAAACTTACATTGAGCACTGTTTTGTAAAAATAAAAAAAAAATCAGTAAGAACACCGGATTATATATATTACTGTCCTTTCTTTTTTTATATATATATATATATATATATATATATATATATATATATATATATATATACATGCTAATGCCCTTGGGAAAGGTATGTATCCTCTTTTTCTCCCTCCAGCTATGGGTACATAGCAGGGCAAACTGGCTTCTACAGCCTTGGTCTAGGAGAAGGACAACTCTGAATTCAAAATCTGCGGAGGTGACCTTGAATGGTTCAAAACCTTCACAAATATAATCAAATCTCATGTGCTGGTGTCGGATTGTCGGTTCCTAGGAACCGATCTACTTGACCCTCATACGTCGAATTCGAAGGAGAGTCGAGTGTATATATATATATATATATATATATATATATATATATATATATATATATATATATATCATTGCACACAAAGGATGGCAATAAAGACTTTTTAAAGAACACGAGTGAGAAAAAGCAAAATATTATTAAGGTGAGAGAACAGCAAAAGAAAAGGAATTAAGAAGAGAAAAGTTAACAACTAACATATCATTTACATTTTCTGAAGGAGGTTTCACAAGTGAGAAATGCGTGAGAAGAAACTGTTAGTATACAGATTACAGTTATATCTAGCAATTTCACGTCTAAAATGATGAGACCTAACAGGCAATCTAGTAGTTAGTTCCTCACGTTCGATCGAGGATGTTTTAATAATAGTATTTTCAGTGGGAATTTGAATTCAAAATGCGGTCTCCAGTCGCGTGTATTCACACATTTAGGATAGTGTGATCCGGTTAGAATCCGGTTTTCTTCTCCTAGGCTGGTTGCCACCCAAGTCTATGAGACCCAGTCTCTCCTGCTATCTTAACCATACCTGGAGGGTGGAGAGGTGGATTCATATCTTTTCTAAGGGTATTAACACGTAAGTGAATGTAATAGATTCGACTGAAATTTGAACTCTGATTCTTCAACTCGAGCCACCAACTAATAATTCACTGTGCCACTGTAATTTATTACTGCACGTAAATTAAGACGAGGTACAAACGAGGAAAGCAATATTTATTTTGAATAATACAAACATGTGACACAAGGCGAAATGGGGGATTGGGGAAGGCTCTTTTTTAATCTGTCTTATCTTAAGCTTAGCTAGCCACGATTTACTGATCCAAATATAGCACAGTATTCCTTACACCAAAAAACACATTCTTATTTGACATTCTTACTACAGTCACCGTAATACCATAGAGTCTCCATGTAGTCCTAAATAGTTTCCATATGTATAATTTTCTAATGTTTATAATATTATTAATAATAATAATTTATTATTATTAATAATATAAACATTATGAAAGTATTCAAATGCTTCTCTCATGGTCAGCTCTATGCAGCACTGTCTAGAGTCGGAAGGGCAAGCATAATGATTAAAGGAAAATCTTGTTTATACAAAAACTTCAGAGAGGTAAAGAGAACTTCTATAGCGACTTACTTTTCACTGTCAATAGAATGGGGTTTTGCCTAATTTAGACAAATTTTAATAGTTACTCCAAATAATTATTCACTATGGGATCTAAATTCTGATTCTTTTCCGTGAACTGTCTGAAAACAGAAACATGGCTGAGGGTAGATACGGCAATTTGATCCCAACCGAAAGGGCGAGACTTTATTTACCTGACCTCGCCAGTAAGGCAGGATGGGGGCACAAGGACAAAAGCTACCCAGTCCAAAATGTAAATTGCCACATGTATGTATATATATATATATATATATATATATATATATATATATATATATATATATATATATATATATATATATATAAATATAACGTTTCTTCCAATAAAGTTACTTTTTAACGATCGAGATTGTATAGAAATTACATAATTTATATCTGCCTTGTCAAACTTCAGTTTTAAATTAGAAAATCTACTGCGTTCGTAATAATAAGTATTGTTGTCGTCTGCTATTTTATATTACTACAAATCTGAACGGATTTGAAAAAATTATGGAATTATCTGAATAAGTCAAAATAATCTGTCTAATTAGATTTTCTTAGAATTGTATAGAATTATTTAAATTAGTGAGAAAATAGAAAGTTTGCTGAATCAAGTATTATTATTATTATTATAAACAAAAGACAATTATTTGAAACGTTTCCTTCATGGTCTATCCATAGTAGGAAATTCAAGTGGACTATACATAATGACAAAAAGAACTCAAAAAACTAAGTGTTTTGCTGAAAATGTTGTTTACACAGAAATTTTAGGTTGTCAAAAGATATTTAAAACTCTAATTGTTATTTTTTATAGATAGGTACAAAATCTGTATATACACACATACACACACGCACACGCACAAAGACACACAAACACACACACAAACACACACACACAGGCGCATATATATAGTGAGAGAGAGAGAGACAGAAAGAGAGCGTCAAGTATTTGAGAACACAACTTTATACAACGTGTATGACGGTTACAAAAGAATCTTGTCTCTTTTTTGTTTTGTTTTTGGAATAACAGTGATTTATTCAAGTTACCACTCTTACTATTTAACCCATAGGTAGGGGAACAGATCGTTTCATTTCATTTTTTGGACGTAGGGGAATGCGACGAATTCTATTGTAATTCGAACTCAGCTCCCCAATTTTTTATTCGGAAATTGAATGAATTGGAAATTGTAGCTTTCTCATATGTCACACTTCTTTAGGCCTCTGGAAAGAATGCGTCTTCAGTGACTAAAAGAAATAAAAATCTCCGACGGTCAGATATTGTTAGGAATGTCGAGTTCGTCCTGCTTATTTCGTAAAGTCTCGGTATCAAATAGGAAAGCTTATCACAACGACTACGATGAAAATATTTATAGAAAAAGGGACAAAGAAGCTACGTTAATGTGGTTGGAAAGTGAGTGAAGCCGAAACATTGCAGATTTTTTGCAGTTTATCAAGAATCTTTAAATACACAGTGGGAGCAACAGACCAAATGTAACGGATTTATACATGGACAAGTGGTCGACTTATAAATATGTAAGATATATTATGTCAAAAAAATTATATATATATATTCATATATTTTAAGTGGCGTCATCCCCTATAAATGACAAAAAACGAAGAAAAACTAAACTAGCATAAAAGTAATTTATTTTTAAATACTAGGGGAAGAAAAAGTTATGGTAATCTATCTATCTATCTATCTATCTATCTATCTATCTATCTATCTATCTGTGTATATATATATATATATATATATATATATATATATATATATATATTTACTACCTATAGTATAGGTAGTTTTATACTACCTATTGATAATGTATATACTGTGATTGATTTTTACTGCTTATCAACACTTTGTCAAAACATGTTTTGGTCTGTAAAAAATTACTTTTTTGATTTTCCTAAATACAGTTTCTACTATTTAATACATACCTGTGGGGGAGGAGACTGCTTCATAGTTTTTCCAAGGGTATTTTCACCCAAGTAGAAGCACATACTGCGAGAATATATGTGTAGTTATATACGTGTGTTGATGCATATAAGGCATGCTAAAATTAGTGCAACAGGGTTAATTGTCAATATAATAGTTGTTTTGTCATGTATGTTAATGCATTAGAAAAAAAGTCATAACCTATTAACGTGTCATCAGCCATTATTTACAAATATGTTAACGTTTTAGGTTATCACAGGAATTATCAGCTGAAAAGGTCGGTCAGGAACTATGATGCAAGTAATTGTTTTATACTTTTTAGTTTTTATTATTTTAAAATCGGGATCATCACGGTATTGCCGCTAAAACACAAGGGGTTACAGGGTGCGGAAGAATAGAACAGAAACATTAATGATGTGCAGAAAGAGAAGATAGTAATCATATGAACAGTAGACAGGAAATCTGATATTTATATATCAAAACGTATTGCGTTATGACTGGTTTTGTTATTTAAAGACTGCTATTTGTTGTCAAGTTGACCTTAATTCAGATGATAACGGAGCAATTAAATACACTTTAAAAAAAAATGTTTGATAGGCAATTACAAATCACGACACGTACTTGATCTTAATCGAAATGTTCATGTTCTTAGTCACATAAAATATGTTTGAACTGATTCATTTTATATCTGCTTTAATAGAAGGAAAAGAGTAAGAACCCAAAACACTATTTGTTTTTTAAATTCAGAGTCGTTTACTAGACTGGTTGCCAACCTAAATCAGAGAGCTCAATATGATCGGCTTTTAACCCCTTGCTGTCGGCTGGAGAGAAGAGAAGGATACATACAATATAAAGAGAATTTGTGCGAAAATTATTGAATTTGAACATGATTAGACGATCCCATTTCTGCGCCGTTAACTCCTAAGCGACACGCACAACCAGTCTCTTATATATATATATATATATATATATATATATATATATATATATATATATATATATATATATATATTGGATAGATATGCTCAGAATAAAAACATCCAGAAGACACGAGTACACACGCGCGCACACAGACACACACACATACACAAATACAGGGTACGATGGGTAAATGATGTGGGGCCAAAGTTGGGACCACAGAAGGAAAACACGGAACACGGATTAGATGTAAGAAAGATATATTAACAACAGGTTACAGAGATAGTGTAAGCAGAGCTTACTATAAGTTAGTGTCCAACACTGGTAGTCGCACTAGACTCTCACTGTCACTCTCTGTCTCTCAGTGTGTCACACTCTGGAGTGCTATGTCACCTACTTAATATAGGCCTGGAAGAGTCTATTGTGTAGGTAGTTGCCGGTCTCATAATAGTAAATTATCGCCATTTTTGTATATTTTATTCTGCGCATGCGCATTGTTTCTTTGTACTTTGTCGACTGCACAGTAGAGTAGTGTCATTTGGGCACCATCTGGTTGAAAAAGAGCACCGGAGCGCAATTCGCTTCGCCAGAAATTTGGAAACAGCATGCTGTACTGCTTGCCATTCATGCCGGAAGCTACAATAGGCACATTTCAGAATGTTTGGGGTGTCAATCTGAGGTCAGTGCAGAGGATTCGGAAAGAGTTGGATGAGTTTAATGGTGATTATGAAGGTGCGGCAGCTCGGAAAACTCAGTCTGATGGTTCTGATCAGAAAAGAACTCCCTTATTTGTTGATGAGGCCTCGGACTCAATGCAGAGGTCTGCATCAAGTGCCTTGAAGAGGTAGTATTGCCATGGTTCAAGAAGGTGACTGCTGGAAGACCCTAACTCTGGCAACGGAACTCTCCACCATGCTACACAAGCAGAAGAACCCAGTCATGGCTGTCAGTCAATTTCTGCGATCACGCCACTCCTTACATCTGGCCACATAACTCCGCTGATTGCGTCCCCTTGATTATTATGTGTGAGGTGCAGTGGAGAGAAAGACCAAAAATATCCCAGTAACATCAAAGATGAACTGAAAGCAAGTATTGTGGTAACATTCACCAACTTAAACAAGGAGACCGCCCAGAAGAGTAACAAGATTCTGAAGTCGTCTGGAAGCCGTGATTGAAGCAAATGACGATTTTATTGAATAAATTTACTCTTTAGTATTTCAAGTTATTTTTATATGATTTTGATAAATATATCTGTTAAATTGTCAGGTTGATTGTTGTGTAATTTAGATGACAATTTATCTATTGCACATTATATATATATATATATATATATATATATATATATATATGCACTTACACACACACATATATACATATTGTTAGGTTATTAGAATAGTTCCAATATATTCCATATTGAAAGTGAAGTTAATTTAAAATCTGCGATATTATTTGGTATTTTTTGTTTTTATTTTTATTAATTACACCGATAGTTTCTTAAGAAATAGAAAAGAGTACTGAACTGCTGTGTAATATCAGTTCTCATATATGGTAGTGGTTGCATTACCAATCTCTGCAGAGGTGAAGAACAGATTTGTGTATATATATATATATATATATATATATATATATATATATATATATATATATATATGAGATATATATATATATATATATATATATATATATATATATATATATATATATATATATATTTATAGTACTGAACTGTTGTGTAATATCAGTTATCATATATGGTAATGGTTGCTTTAATTCAATCTCTGCACAGGTGAAGAACAGATTTATATATATATATATATATATATATATATATATATATATATATATATATATATATTTTCTTGATATACCGATGGGGTTTTCTCCCCCATCTCGGTGTCATCTCTTTCCTTGAGTCTCTGATCATCTATCTATCTATCTATCTATCTATTCAAATGTTATGAATCACAAACGAAGTCTTTTTATACCAAAAACGTTATATGACAAGTGATATGGTTGTAGTGTGAAACTAGAGTAGTTGAGTTGAGCAGTGTTGCTGGGTAAGCATTTACGCACATAGGACTATCATTTACTGTTTAGATTGGTGTTTGCCTTTGAATTTATTCCGTTGTCATTTTATCTTTCCTTTCCTTATTTTGTATTTGATTCATTGTTTTTATTATTATTTTCTTTTTCTTTGGTTACTTGGCAGGGTTTGTGTTGGTTTTACAAATAATTTGATTTGTCGTATATACATATATATATATATATATATATATATATATATATATACATACGTAGATTTAATAGACCAGTAAATAAAATTTGAAGAATAAAAATCCAACAAAATGATACATATGTTGGCAATAAAATTGATGATAATTATTATATATTAAGCTTTTGATTAAACTGAAGCACGAAGAGAAAGAATTTAAAGTCGGAATTTTCAAACACCCTTGTGTCTCTTTTCAAAGAGACGAGGAATAAACAAAGAAGTGGGACTTACTCTTCCGAGCAATGTTGCTGTGTTTGTCCCCGTGGAAAGTATACAGTTTGTGTAAACCCCCAATCTCCGTTTAATCCCTTTATATGTAATTTTATTTTGAAAATGTGTTTCAAATCCAGCTGCTGAATGAAGACGCCAAAAGAACCCATCTGATATCATCAATGCTACGAAACGGTTGGTGAAGTGTGCAGTGACAGGTGAATCGTTGTTGCTAGCTGTGATGCTTTTTATTGTTATTAAACTGAAGAAGTTTAATATATATATATATATATATATATATATATATATAATGCACACTTCTGATGAGTCACAAATATAGGACGAAACAGCTGTCCAGTGCTTTCTGCATTCTGTTAAGGTTTTTTCTAGACTCGATGAATTACTTAAATATAATTATCTCAAATTCTCCTAATAATTTCTATCACTTGTATATCCTTGCTTGAACCGGATTCTAATGATCTGGATGGAGCGGCTTGGGGATAGTAGTCGTGGCTAGCAGAATATGTGATCGAGCGGCGCTATATCGAGTCTAATTCGCTACTTCTTCATCGCCGAGGCCCGTTGGTACAGTTGGTATATCGTTTGCCTGATAGCGTACATGTCCGGGTTTCAATTCTTGGTAGTGGATGCGCACTGCTGATGAGTCCAAAATATAGGATAAGACGACCATCCAGTGCTTTGTGTATTGTTGAGGTTTCTTCTAATTCTTGACTCAATGAATTACTTAATTATGATGCGTGTCTGTATATATGAAATGGCTGTACGGTTAAACCTATGTTTTATTTACAATCACAGATAAATAAGAATGACCAGATCAGGCGCAAATTTGCAGATTTGTTGTCAATTATACTGATTATGCTATGATATCAGAATTGCATGCAACTTTAATATCCCCATCTTAACGGAAAAAATTGTCTTCAAGTAAAAAAAAGTAGCCAGACGTTATTAATCTCGCTCTGAATCTGAAATAATGCGCCACTGATAAAAGAAAAAAAATGAGAAGTACACTTGTATATTGTAGTTCGACTCGAGCGAAACTATAATTGACCAGGGGAAATATTATGAGCAACATTGAAAAAGGTTCTAGTATAGTGAAACTGAATACAAAGGGATTGTATCGAGAAATAATAAAGAAGAATTATGAGAACAAGCCAAAAAAAAAAAAAAAAAAGATAAGAAGAAAGAAAGAAAGAAAACGGATAAAGAAAAGAAAAGAAATCGAAAGACAATATACACACTGACTATTAACTTAAACATTAAATGTGAAAAAAAAAAGAAAAGACAAAAATCTAATAATACACCGTAAACAATGTCGTCTGTTTCCGTTAATTTTTATCGCCAGCCATTGACGTCACATTCTGGACAAAAAGAAAATGCTTGGAGAGCATTCTGTGAATTAATTGATTACTTTTATCTTTTTTTCTGATCAACAGTGAAATATGTTAGAATGTGAAGTTTGCCTGAAATAGCGGTCAGGTACAACTTCTCTCATCTCGACCAACCCTTTTAGCGACCAGGTCGTTGGCACGGACTGATGTCCTTAAGTAACATGTAGCTTTACATAAACTAATTATAATAAAATTCAAGATTACATTGCTAATAGCAATGCGACTTTTTTAATACCATGTCTCTTACCGTGTCGTTTTAGGACGTTGTCATTAATCGCTCTCCTTAACTTCCTGTCCTATGTAGCTCTTAATAAATTTCGTCTCTTGGTTACCTATTCCAAAACCTTGTTCAGTGATCCATTTGCCAAAGATAGTTTTTCTTCTTTCTTTATGTACCACTAGCAGCATTGCCCGGCGTTGCCCGTGCTTGATTCAAAAATCGTACGACTCATACAGCAATCGCTATCACTTGACTTAAAATATTTTTGCCCTTTCTTGTCTTTAAAGGAATGCACTTTGCCGTGCTGATGTTGCTACATGCCTTACTTCTTGCCTATCTCACACTGCGGATTTTTTCTAAGCTCTATACTAAACATTAAATCTGTTACGAAAAAAGAACTAAACAAAATGAACACAAAACGATCAGCTTTAAAAAAAGACTCGTAACTGGAAAAACCGAATGAAAAAAGAATGTTAACAACAAATACATTTTCACACCCAACCCAGTTCTGCCGAATCAGAATCAACGTTGAGTTTAAGCAAGCGAATGAGCCAATTGGAGTAAAGTGCCATGCAGATTTAAATTTTACCCACTTGTGACGAATGCAGCTATCAATTTTTTTTGCATGCTAGTTAACATTCGTGTCAGTCAGCTGTTGGCTCTCACGCTGGCCAATAGAATCTTCCTGCCTATTCGTGGCAGCCAGCCATTGGCTCTCACTCTGGCCAGTAGAAAATGGCCGCAAACTACATTAAAACTGCCGTAGAAGCATGAAAATATCGGTTATTTTTACTATCGATGGGAGTTGGGAAATGCAAAGTCGGTCTTGGCCTTTTTGCTAACTTGGAGCATGTGCATGTAAATTTTGGTGTAAATCCGTCGAAAATTGCAGCCGTCCATTCGTTACACACACACACACACACACACACACACCCTGCCTTTTATAGATAGAGATATCTCTTCAGACCGTCAGTGATCATAGCTCTCCACAATTTCCTGTACTTTGTAACTCCTAATACATTTTGTCTTTTAGTTATCTATCTTAATCCTTGCTCCGCCATATATTTACTCAAGATCTCCAGGTAGGTTACACGTTGTTTTTCTCCCTCATGCCTTTAATCTGTCCGGTGAGTATGAAATTTTCCAAGCACTCTTTCTTCATCAAATTTCAACTGTCACTGTTAATTATAAGTGTCCTTTTCTTTTCCATTTTTTTCTAAAACTTCCTCGTTGTTCACATGTTCGGTTCATGGTATTCTCAGCATCCTTCTGTAGGATCACATTTCTGTTGTCTCCACTCTCATCAACATGTGAGGAGATTGTTCAGAATTCGCTACCGTACAGGAGCGCAGATATCATGTAACAGGTCAGTACACTTTTCTTAGTTTCTAACGAACTTTTCTTGTTTCTTAATACTCTGCTTAGCTTTTAGAATGCATCTTTGGCCATCCAAAGACGTCTTTTGATCTCAGTGTCGCACTTTTCGTCTTCTGTTAGAACACTTCCAAGATATTTAAATTTCTGTACCTGCTTTATTTTAGTATCCCCGATTTTTAATTTGCATTTTGGGCTCACCCTTTTGTTGATAACCATGCATTTTGGTTTATTGTAGTTTATACTTAGTCCTTTCATCTCGCTTTTCTTCCCTACCCTCTGTGGGATCTTTTGTAGTTTTATTTCAGCATCTGCTAGCAGCACTGTGTCATCTGTATATCTTATAGTATGGCCGCCAATAATGAATCCTGTTAGGACTTTTAATTATTTATTTCAAATTTTCTACTGTGATTTTTGAGACAAACATTACCCGATGTTAGAATTGATTGGAGAATGGCAATGAGATTTTTTTAACGCTAACGTTAATCAAAAACGTGGTTCGAGAACCCGTGAAGGTAGAGATTTAATGTTAAAATGGTTATCATATATAAAGTGTGTGACATGAATGAATAAGAAGGTGGTAGGAACTTAAGATTTTCAGGATAAGGAAGAATTTTGTTTTTGATATTCTCCCTGTACTAGTCCCAAGAGCCACTTGAAGTAGAGCGTTATATAAGGAAAACTTTAAAACGAACAGGAATCCCATTCATACACAAGAAGAAAGGGATCAACCGCTACTCCTGTTCAAAAAACTGTGGACTAGTTGAACCGGACGATAGGCGAACTCGTAGATAACGATTGACCTTTTACTTAAAGAGTGTAGTGTTCATTCTTCCCCGAGGCAGACTTTGGCAAAAAAGTGGCATTTTTTTTTTGGTGAGGGGAGGGGGAAAGCTGTCTGATTGAAACTTCGGTTCGACTTCGTGGATGAAGCATAACCTAACAGTAAATGTTTGAACTGGTGGAACAAAAGGATAGAGTTCCTCTGGCCATTTGCCATGAAAATAGCGATAGACTAGCAGTAGATTTGCAACGCTGCATTTGTGGGAAAGAGGCTAGAGAATGGAGAATAGGACTTTCCCCAAAATACGAAGTAACGGATTTTGAACTCTATCAATGCTGAGCATTGAGGATTGAGCAGCGCCAGCCCAAATATGGCAGCAATGTTCTACATTTGGTATAATCCGACTTTTGAGATGCAATCCATATAATACTAAAAGTCTGTGAATGCGAGCTTGCGTGGTGCGTCGTCCGTCTGGAACATAATAATGATTTAAGTTTTTTTTTTCCACCTCTCTATTTCCACCTCTCTCTCTTTTCACGTCTCTCTTTCCACCTCTCTGCCATTGCGGGGGTGGTGCGTCCGTCAAGCGCATAATGATTTGAGTTAATCTGATTTAAGTTAATCTGATTTAAGTGAATAAGATTTAAAAATACATGTTTTTTTATATAGTAATTATTTTATTTTATTTTTGGTCAAAGCAAGTATGATTGATTGGAAACAAAAAAAAGGTAAGATTTGATGATTAGCTTCTTCTTCTTCTTCTTCTTCTTCTTCTTCTTCTTCTTTGTGTTGTGACTTTTCACAACTTGGGCGATCATGGCTCTCTACAACTTCGACTGGGAGACTGAAAAGACACACAAAAACTAACAAAATATAGTACAATTAATATCTTAGCAAAACATATCTGTCTCTTGTCTGTCAACATGAGGCCAGACGTTTTAAAAGTTTTGTCTGGTTAAAAAAAAACAATTCGTTCAAGGAAAAATTGCGTCGTCCAATGTTGTCTAGTAACATCATACTCGACGTCGATTTAGCATTCATACACACACACACACACACACACACATATATATATATATATATCTACATTTGCTGGTTCCCAGACTTCATGAGTTCAAGCGCCCTACGAGGCTGGCATCCCGCTCACACCCATTCACTGTCGAAGTTCCTAAATGTAGCCGTCTCTTCGAATCCATTAGCTTCATGTCTCGCACCTCTCGCCTGTGGAACTCCTTTCTCAATTCCAGTTTCCCTGAGAGCTATAAACTCCAACTATTCAAATGTAATATCAATCGATATCTCCAGTTGGCTTGATCTATACACCACCTTTCTCCTCATCTTTTTTTTTCTATCACCCGATCTAATCTTGCTCCAAATCTTCTGTAACCCCTTGCGTTCTAGTGGTTTCCCTGACTTGCTTGGGGAAACGCTTAATATATATATATATATATATATATATATATATATATATATATATATATATATATATATATATATACCGGGTGTAAAAAAAAAATTGGCCAAATTGTGTAACCCCAACTGTCTAATTGTTTGATCAAAATTTGAACCGTTGTATCGTAGAAATGATTAAAGAGATCTTAATGGATTTCTCGAGTTTTTTTTTTAACACTACTGGACTCTTGTTTGAACAATGTATTTAGTTTTAAGTTGAAAAGATGACCTCTCTTGCTGTTGTGACCTCCTGATCCAGTTTTCCTCTCTACTGTTCCCTCGTTTTAAAAAATTATTCACCGTTCTCTTGTTGCTTCTAAGCCAGAGTATGAATGTTGGTACTATTACGGAAGGCCTGAAAGGTCTTTTTCCTCTCACCATTGCTCAGTTGGGAAGGCATGGTGGGGCTACACAAAACGATTGGAAGCTGTTCTCTTTCTAAATGAAAAACTCATAGTTATACATATATGAAAGAACGATATGTATTTTCTTAGATATCAAAAACTATATTGTGGGAATATATATAAAAAAAAATGGAAAACATGTTCTTGTGACGCGTTTCATCCAGAACAAATTTAGTCCGATGAAGTCCTAAAGGACAAAACACGTTACAAGAAAACCTTTTCCACTTCGTCGTACATTTTTCCTCAACACACACACACACACACACACACACACACACACACACACACACACACACACACATATATATAAATATATATATATATATATAGAGAGAGAGTGACGATATATAAATTCTTATATATCAAAAACTATTTTGTGGACATATGCATGATAAAATAGAAACTTTTTTTTTGTTTGGAGAGTTTTGTCTTTTAATGAATGTTTTAATGAATATTTTGTATAAAAACATTGTAGGTTATGAGCATATAATCGTAACATACTTAATGAAAATCTGTTCCAAACTCAGTTAAAGAACAGCGAGGAAAAACTGCATACATCAAAGATCAGACCAAACAAAGATCATTATTGCGCAGCTATGTCAGGTGTAGGCGGAGAATAAATTTTATGGAAAAGGTTAGGTCCTTTGCTACGAGGATCAGAATCAACTCTTTGGTCTCTGAAGTAAATGATGCCGGTCTTTGTTAGTTGTCGTCTCGTAACTATGAGAGCATTCATTTAATTAAAATGGGGCTGCTGTCGTAGACATTATGTCTTCTTTATATTGGACACCAGCGTTTGAATATACAGAATTAAGTTGATAGCCCGATGATTCGGAAACGAATGACAGAAATTCGTTGCCGAATACGAAACCTAAAAACAGAATATCCATTGCTTACGAACCATTATTATGTTATATTATTACAGTTGCTTTAAATCGCATCTACTGGGACAGTAATTTTTCTGCTGTTACTAAGGAATGAGTATCAGAAGTGGACGCGTGCTAAACTAGTTAGAGTGTTAGATTTCTGACTATAAGTCACGCGGTTCGAATTTCACAAATAGTAGCCACCGGCACTGATGGGAAGTGCCAGAAGATAAAAAAATATAATTTGATCTCGTCGTCGATCGTATCAGAGAATTTAATTCACATCATGTACTAGATTGGCAGCGCGTTTTATCATTTTACAGTTGAAATGCCAAGGTGTAGTCGTAGGTTCTATTCTAATGGTTACTTCTCTTGCAATTTTAGTCTGTGGAACCCACTTTCAGGTTCTTGCTTTCCAGTCACCTAAGATCTACAAAGATTTGAATTCAACTCAAATCGCCATCACCTAACACTTTGAAAATTTTACAATCCGTTCTCCACATTTTCCTTCCCTCTATTGTCCATTCGCCTCAGTTTCCTTTCCGATATTATCATTTCTATTTAATATCCTTCTGTCGATAGCCATTTCAACACAGTTTACTTCAATATATTATCATTCTCATCAGGTTCTTTCCCTCTATTCTCTTTCTACTCAATATCCTTCCACCTATTGTCGTTTATTCCCAGTTTTCCTTCTATTGTCCTTTCTCCTCGATATCATTCCTTCTATTGATCTTTCAATTCAGTATCGTTTCATCTATTGTCATTTCCGCTCAATTTTCTTCTTTTTAATGTCCTTATCCCCCGTTTCCTTCCCATTATTTTTCGTCTTTCTCAGTTTTATTTTTTCGAATATACTTTCTCTTCAGTTTCCTCCCATCTATTGTCATTCTTCCTCAGTTATTTTCCCTCAATTTTCCTTTCTTCTCACTATCCTTCCCTCAACTTTCCTTTCTTCTCACTATCCTTCCCTCTATTTTCCTTTCTTCTCACTATCCTTCCCTCAATTTTTCCTTTCTTCTCAATATCCTTCCCTCAATTTTTCCTTTTCTTCTCACTATCCTTCCCTCTATTTTCCCTTTCTTCTCACTATCCTTCCCTCAATTTTCCTTTCTTCTCACTATCCTTCCCTCTATTTTCCTTTCTTCTCACTATCCTTCCCTCAATTTTCCTTTCTTCTCACTATCCTTCCCTCTATTTTCCTTTCTTCACACTATCCTTCCCTCAATTTTCCTTTCTTCTCACTATCCTTCCCTTTTTATTTTCCTTTTCTTCTCACTATCCTCCCCTCAATTTTCCTTTCTTCTCACTATCCTCCCCTCAATTTTCCTTTCTTCTCACTATCCTTCCCTCAATTTTCCTTTCTTCTCACTATCCTTCCCTCTATTTTCCTTTCTTCTCACTATCCTTCCCTCTATTTTCCTTTCTTCTCACTATCCTTCCCTCAATTTTCCTTTCTTCTCACTATCCTTCCCTCTATTTTCCTTTCTTCTCAGTTCCCTTCTTCTATTGTCGTTCTCTTATGTTTCCTTCCCTGTATTGTTCTTTCTACTCGCTATGCAACCCTCTTTTCTGCTTGGTATCCTTCTCTCCATTGTCCTTTCTCCTTAGGTTCCTTCCCACTAGTGTTCTTACTGCAAAGTATTTTACTTTCTTTTCAGTTATTTTCCATCTATTTTTCTTTCTCCTCACTTTGTTACTCCTTGTACTTCTCCTCAGATTCTTCCCATCTGTTGTCCTTTCTCCTCAGATTCTTTACATCTATTGTCCTTTCTCCTCAGATTCTTCCCATCTATTGTCCTTTCTCCTCAGATTCTTCCTATCTATTGTCCTTTCTCCTCAGATTCTTCCCATCTATTGTCCTTTCTCATCGGATTATTCCCATCTATTGTCCTTTCTCCTCAGATTCTTCCTATCTATTGTCCTTTCTCCTCAGATTCTTCCCATCTATTGTGCTTTCTCCTCAGATTCTTCCCATCTATTGTCCTTTCTCCTCAGATTCTTCCCATCTATTGTCCTTTCTCATCGGATTATTCCCATCTATTGTCCTTTCTCCACAGATTCTTCCTATCTATTGTCCTTTCTCCTCAGATTCTTCCCATCTATTGTCCTTTCTCCTCAGATTCTTCCCATCTATTATCCTTTCTCCTCAGATTCTTCCCTTCTACTGTCCTTTCTCCCCAGCTTCCTTTCCCCAGTTATCCTTCTCTTCAGTTTCATTCCATTTATTTTCCTTTATTCTCAGTTTCCTTCCCTCTATTCTCGTTTCTCCTCAGTTTTCTTCATACTGTTGTCCGCCTCTGTTTCATTCCCTCTTTTGTTTATCTTCTCATTTTCCTTTATCCTCAGTTTCCTCCCGTCTATTGTCATTTTTTCTCATTTTCTTTTTCCTATTTACCCGCCATTTCTGCTTTCTTCCTTTTATTTTCCTTTATCCTCCATTCTATCGTCTCAGTTTCCTTCCCTCTATTGTGCTTTATTCTCAGTTATTTTCCCCTTTACTTTACTTTCTCTTCAGTTTCTTTCCCTCTATTCCCGTTTCTCCTCAGTATCCACCCCACCTCTATTGTTCTTCCTCTTCAGTTGTCCTTGATCTTTACTTCCCTGTCCGTCTTTTCAGTTTCCTTCATTATATTGTCCCTTTTCTCACTTTCTCTTCATCTATTTTCTTTCAGTTTCCTTCCCTCTGTAGTCCTTTCTTCTCAGTTTCATATCTTCTATTGTCTTTCCACCTCAGTATCATTCCCCTAATTGTCGTTTCTGCTTTCTTGCCAGTTCCCTTTCTTTCTATTCTCCTTTTCTATTAAGTATCCTTCAATCTATTGTCCTTCTCCTCAGTTTATTTCCCTCGATTATTCTTTCTTCTCAGTACCCTTCCATGTATTGTCCTTTCCCCCCAGTTTCTTCCCCTCAATTGTCCTTTCTCTACAGTTTCCTTTCTTGTATTGTCCTTCTCCTCAGTTTATTTCCCTCTGTTGTTCTTCTCCTCAGTTTTTTTTTCTCGTCTATTCTCCTTTCCCTTCAGTTTCCTGCCCTCTATTCTCCTTCCTCTTCAGTATCCTTCACACAATTATCCGTTCTCCTTAGGTACCTACCCTCTACATAAACTCTTATGTCTTAGTGGCTTTATCTTATTATTAAATCACTTGAATTGAATAGAATTTATTTGGCCTCGTACTTTGTCTATTGAGCTAGAATTATCAGGTCATCCCATAAGTTCTGTCCGAATTTTGAATAAAGAAAACAAGTGACCAAATGTTACATTTAATTACAGATTCAATCAACAATGTATTTTCCCTGATTACCTATGACTTCCTTCCATCTATAAACAAGCTTACTAATTCCATTACTGTAAAATTCTATTGGCTTTGATTCGAAGAACTCACAAATGTCAGTTTTAACCTCTTCCTGTGTTACAAAAGCTGTTTCTTCCAAATGATTCTGTAAGCTACAAAACAAATGGTAATCTGAAGGAGCAAGATCGGGAGAATAAGGTGGATGAGAAATTTTCTCCCAACCAAGTTCTTCAATCTTTTGTGACGTGCTTCTTGCTGTGTGGAATCGAGCATTGTCCTGATGAAACATCACCTCTTTTCGATTCACTAGAGCAGGTCTTTTTTTTCCTCAAAGTTTGGTTCAAACGCTCTAATTGCTGAGAATGGAGAGAAGAGCAGATGTCAACTCGGGATTTGAGGTTGTTTTCAGACAATTCATGACGCACCCATTTTCCAAGTTTAGGAACTTTTCCAAGTTGTTGAAGATGACGATGAACAGTTGTATGGTTTGAACTGAGAACCACTGCCAATTCCTCAACTGATAAAGCAGGATTTTCTTCAAGGGCTGCTTCAAGAAGCTTTTCATCAAACTCAACTGGACGTCCGGTTCGATCTTCATCTTCAAGGGTGAAATCTCCACCTCTGAATTTTGCAATCCATCTTCTGAAAGTTCTTTCATTCACACATTACTTTCCATAAACTGAATGAATGTTTCTAGCCGCTTCGGCTGCTGAGTTTCCTTTCTTGAACTCATAAAGCATTATGTGCCTCAAATGATTCTTGGGCACTTCCATGTTAGCAGGGTTTTAATCAAACAAAATTTAATTTTATTGTTCTCTGAAATAACATTTGATCAGTTTAAATGCATCTAAACATAAAAATAATGTTCAGCTCCATTAGACATTATAAAATACTCTTCAAATTTCGTTCATTTTAACAAAAAGTTAAAATTCGGACAAAACTTATGGGATGAACTGATATATACAGAATTTCAATTGTTTTGGTTATTATCACGAAAGCATTTTAATAGTAGCTCTTCTTGTCTATGATATGATAGCTGACTACTTTCTAATTGAAATTAATGCCAAACACAGATCGAAGATTATGCTTATATTATTTTGGTATTGAGAGCTTCATTGTAATTTTCTAAGCGTAGAAATGCCGAATGCATGGGGCATCCGATGAGGATCGAACTCACTATCCAATCGTAACTGATCTAGCGAGACACACTTGCTAATATTATACCATGTCGAAGTGCCTCTGACAACTTCATACTAAGAATTGTTTATGTTCCACGGTAAGTAAGATATCAGCTTCAGTTAATGTATTTGGTTGCCTGGATTATTCGTAGGCTTTAATTCATGCAGTTATAATGCCAATGTTACACCGCGGAACAGTTATTTTGTTTATTTGTTTCCTTACCTTTCCTTTTTCTCCTAAAGGTATTCATCCCAATTCCTCCTTCAAATGCAAGTGAGCGTGAACACTTCTGCGGGTAAATTCCAGCCATATGTGAACTCGTGAGACGTATTAAGCCAGTAGGAAATAAAACTTACCATTCAGTAGTTTCGCCGAAAGAATAGCTATGTCTTCAAATCCTTCTGGAGTTATCTAGAGATTTAAAACAAAATAATGATTTCGTCAAATCACGGACAGTTCGTTTATTCAAATTTTAACCCTAGAACGCTAACCATGGGTATATAGTACCCAGTGCAAATTTTCCTATTTTTAATTACAATTATCAGTACCTGATTTTCTTACCTAAATAATGTTTTTCAGTTCCTATTAATATTAACTCAAAGTACAAAATTTGAAGTGCCTGCATGTAAAATATTTCAAATAAAGATTTATATTTAATAGTTTTTTGATATTTTCAAAATCGGGTATGATATACCCATGGTTAGTAGTGGGGTAACTTTAATTAATGGTTAGTGTTCTAGGGTTAAGCGTCCTTTTTATCACAACCGTGGCTTCATACAGAGTCGCCAATGTCAGATTTGAAGTAATCCTTTTTCTTATTATTTTTAATTATTTAACCCCAAATAGGACGATAAAGCCCCTAAGATGCAAGAAGATTGCTGAGTATGACAGAATAAAAAAAAAACACTATCAAGGGAAGAGAACAATAAAAGATTAGGAATTAAGATAACGATTGTCTTTAAAGGTCAAAGTTGACTAGAATTCAAGAAGCCGGAAGAGAGTTTAACAAGCGAGAAGTGCGAGGGAAGAAACTGTATAGGAGTTAAGGTTACATCTAGCGATTTCAACTATAAAATAAAGAGACCTAATTGCCAATCAGGTATTGCGTTTAAATTCAGGAAGTGTACGCAACAAAGAGGAAAGTTGATCAGGACGATTAACAAGAAATTATTCATAGATAAGGCAAAAGGAAGCTACTTTACTGCTGTAGAAACGTGACTGAATCCGAGATGACAGTTTATGACTGATAACATTGCAGATTCTTCATTGTATTTTGTCACAGATCTCTAAATACATAGCAGAAAAATAATGTCACGGTTACGGTAGCTGAATGTTAATCGAAAATTGTTTGCTTTCATACCGATAGGCAAACTAGTTAAAATTACTTCGACATTCCAAACTTACACCTATTTTGATAGATGGATAGGACTCCTACTGCTATACACTATCTTTACAAGATCCACATCAGACCAAAAATGGATTATTTCGGCTGTAATGGGATTGCCTCTCTTGATAGAGTTCAAAGACATCTACGCGGCCTTGTGGGTGATGAATTATTACCACCTTACCAGCCCTTTCCCACAGAAGAGCATCTCGCTACTCTATCGTTATATCCATAAAATGTGTTCCGACTATCTACAACGCCCAGTCCTGACCTTTGCAACCGGGACTCGCCACACACAAAAGGAGGAATTAACCACATTCTCTTCGTATGCCATTAGTAAGAAGTAAGTTCCATTCGTAAAGCTTCTTCCAAAGAACTGCTGCTTTGTGGAAAATATTTACTAAATTCTGTAAAAATATGTTGCTTTCTTTGCTAAATAATATAATTTCATGAGATTAAAATTTATATATCATATCAGTCAGTTATGTGCCATGCGTGAAACATAACTGAGGAGGTAGATTTTTTTTTTCTCGCAGTAGGATGCCATTTTTTTCTGCGGTAGACGAGTTGCCATCTCAGGCTATACAACGCGGTCTGTCTAGAAGAGGATTCATACGATTCCCAAGAAGAAGAGGATTCATACTTTTCCCAAAAAGAAGGGTATTCATGCCTTTCCCAAGAAGAGGATTCATACTTTTCCTAAGAAGAAGATTCATACCTTTCCCAAGAAGAAAAGGATTCATACCTTTCCCAAGAAGAAGATTCATACGTTTCCCAATAAGAAGAAGATTCATACGTTTCCCAAGAAGAGAATTCATACTTTTCCCACGAAGAAGAGGATTCATACGTTTCTCAAGAAAAAAAGGATTCATACCTTTCCCAAGAAGAGGAGGATTCATACGTTTCCCAAGAAGAGAATTCATACTTTTCTCACGAAGAAAAGGATTCATACCTTTCCCAAGAAGAGAATTCATACTTTTCCCACGAAGAAAAGGATTCATACCTTTCTCAAGAAAAAAAGGATTCATACCGTTCCCAAGAAGAAGAGGATTCATACTTTTCCCACGAAGAAGAGAATTCATACGTTTCTCAAGAAGAAGAGGATTCATACATTTCCCAAGAAAAGAATTCATACCTTTCCCACGAAGAAGAGGATTCATACCTTTCCCAAGAAAAGGATTCATACTTTTCCCAAGAAGAAGAGAGTTCATAACTTTCCCAAGTGTATTAGCACGTAAGTCAATGTAATGGATTCGACTGGAATTCGAACTCGGGTCTCCAATTTCTCTATCCGAGCCGCTATCCATTACCTTACCCTGCCTTCTTATATGAAATATATTTTAGTATAGTATACTAAAATATTTGGAACCTTTTTCTTACGCCTGGCTGGTTTACAGTTTGTTTGCCTGCTACATTGGCTAGCTAAACTCCTTTGCGAACGCCTGCACAGTCAAATTTGTGTTTCTTCGATAACAAAAAAGCCACCTTTTGGTATGTAGGCTATACGATTATATTCAGTTTCATTATGTTTTAATAATACTTAATAGTAAAACTGATAAAAGTAAAAACAAAAGCATCTAAAAAAAAATTAAATTTAAAATGCAAGCGTTCCAACACCTTCAGGGTTTCATATCGCTGCATGATTATAAGCAACGCTTGTCTTTTTAAATCTCCATCTCCCTTTCATACACATATATAATTTCACCAACAAAAATATTACTTTAGTCTAATGAAATCCTTGTAGAAAGTTTATACCCTTTGTAATTTATTAATATTTGTATAATTAACAATTAAATGAACACAGAACAAAGCTATACAGATAAATCAATGAAACAAAATTTCTTACGTATTTATTTTTTTATATGTAGCATCCGTCGGTCTCGAGAGACCTTGGATCTGCGCCCAAAGATTTATGTCTCAGCTGTCGACGGCAGCACTGCATTTGTTAGGCCTGTACAGGCCCACATGGGTGTGACAATCTCGATTGCAACAGGTCCAAATGAAGACGCTCCCCTCTCGATATCGCTGTGTTGTTTTCTTTCCGGTGAGTACGATTCTTCCCGACGCAAGCCTCCGTTTCTTCTCACCTCGCTCTAACCCTCAGTGTAAATCGCACTCTCCAGCCTGATCGATCGTTGGCAATGCCTTCCCACCTTTCGATGTCCATGTCCATCGCACTTGTGTCTCTTTCGCAGACGTCCTTAAAGCGAAGATGAGGTCGCCATCGT